GGCGCGGGAAGGTGGCGGCTGCGGCCACGGCCACGGCCAAAGCCGCGCAGGGCTGTCCTTCCCTAGACACTAGTCATTGACACGAGAGACGAACTTATTTCATCTATGCTGTGAACGTCCTCAAATACGTTTAATAACAAGTGTTGATACTGCGATTCTTCCATGGGTAATACAATTACTTAATAGATCAAAAAACAGTATAAAATAAGAATGTGAACATGTCTATTTAACTCTATGACTAATACATGTGGGCACTGCGATAAAAACCACATGCATGTTTTAAAACCTAACAATATATAAAGCATATAACTGACAACAACAGGCTGGGGGTGGGGAAGTGTGTGTGCTAATTCACCTACATTTCTTAGCAGGGAGCCCAAGGATATTTACTGAAATCCAAACATAGAAAACCGACTCCAAACTCTGAGTAATGCCTGGGTGAACCATCCAACAATACCTTCAGTTCTACTTGTTTTCATTTTCGCTAACTTGAAGTAAAGCACAACGCCTTTCTTTTAAAAAAGGGTGCACCCTGTGATCCTCTGCAGTAAAACTGTTTCTGAGTGTTCACTGAACACTCGAGGATCCGCCGTGTGCCAGTTGTCCAGGCTACAGCAGCGAGCCTGTTTTCATAGTTTACATTCCAAGGGGAAGAGAGGCAATGGACCAAGAAAATGTACTTCGTTCCCCCCCCCAAAAACTCCAGGAAGTAGCGATAAACACAATGAAGAACAATAAAGCAGGGAAGGGCACAGGGAGGGAGTACAGGTGTGTCATTTTGGACAGAGTGGTCCGTGAATGAAGGCCTCGCTTAGGAGGTATATTTGATTTCATCGACGAGGAAGGAAGCCACCTCAGGAATTCCCTGCTCTGGTGAGGCCACCCGGGGTCTCGGGGCAGTGCTGGCTATCGCCGCCAGGCTCCCCGCACTCTGGTTTTATCAGCACCAGGTCACTACCTCAGTGGCTGGAAGAGCGCCTGTGCCACCTATTCAGAGTGGGCAGTGAATATGTGGCCGACTCCATTCTGAGTGGCAGAAAACTGGCATCTAAAATCTAAATGGATCTGGGCTCATAAGATCCGTTTAAGTCCCCAGTGGCATACCAGCCTCTCTGATCATAACTTCCTGGCTACCTTTGGGCCAGAGCCATGGGACAGAGCCATGATGGCAGCATACAGCATTAGCAGGACTCAGGAGGAGCCTGAGTAACCCCCTTCCCCTGATCTATCTGTATTTCTGTGTTCCTTTTTGTTAAACATAATAAATCACCTTTTACTTAAATGACTAGTTTGAGAGAGCTAGTTTTCCCTTCAGCAGAGCAACTGCCGGCCCGCTATGGTCACTGGGATAGAAAATTCAATATTAAGACTGAGATGAGTCCTTAGCAGGTGGGGAAGATTTAAGAGAGGACACTGGTGCTTTTCCCAGTGGCCCCATCAAAGGCTGTGCAAGCATAAACACGTCGGCTTCCTGCACACATCACCCCACCAACCTGGCAGCTGTCCCTCCCCACTTCCAGCCCGTTGTCGCTATTGACCCTGCCTGTCCCGTTCCCCTGGGACCATGCACCACCATCTTCGCCCTCTCTTTCCTCACATTTGAGTCCATAAACGTGCCAGTTTCTCCTGCGCGGGCCTCGTCCACTGGCCTCTGCATCTCTAACACTACCGGTCCTTCTTCCTGTCAGTCAAGCTTCTTGGAAAAATAATTTATACTTTCAGTCTTTAATTCTCCACTTCCTAGTCACCTGCTAATCCACCTGAACCTAGATTCTACTCGACCCCCCACCTCGCAACCACCGAAGCTTGTCATACAGCTCACACCGCTGCATCTTAAATTGTCACGTCCGATAGATATGCCTTTCTGGCCAGTCCTTTCCTGCCTTGCTCATGGCTCTCATCTCTCCCACTCATCATGTAGACACTGGCCCTCAGTGCCTTGGTCCAGGCTTGACTTTAAAAATACAAGTTTTCAGAACTGGTTCACTCACTGCAGAGGTTTTAATTCCCACCTGCACCTGGCCCCAGTGTCTTCTCCGAGATTCACAGCCCTGTGTCCAACTGTCTAGTACCACACGACCTGTAAGCACTCAAGTGAGTTCTCTTTCCCGTGTCCCGTTTCTGACACCATCACCCACTAAACCAGACATACGAGACTCCTCCATCCCTCTAATCACGTATCTGCTTCTTCCCCCTCCACCGCCCGCCTGCAGAATAAAGCCCAACGTTGTTATCATGCCCCCCAAGCCCACCACTTTCCCAGCTTCCCGACTCGCTCCCGCACAGCGTCTCCCGGGGCATCGGGCTGTTTGCGGTGCATCGCACGCCACCCTTTCCGCCTGGACCACCCTCTGCTCCTGCTCTGGCCCACAAAGCATCTCTGGAGCGACCTGTGTTGTGCCAGCCGCCCATCCTTTTGGCTCCCACAGCAGGCCCTGCACACAGTGTTAATCCAAAGCAGAGTTTACCTCATTGCTTTGTACGGTTGTCCTTGTTGCTGTGTCCTCCCGAACAGCAGTGGTCTCACGGCAACCACCTTCACACCTACCACGTCAGGTCTGTGCCGGGCTTTCGTCCAGCCGTTCCTGAACTGCATTAGGGCTTCACCCTGCTCGGTTTTCCTAATCCTTAAGTCAAGATAATATGCGTTTCTCAGGATTCTTGAGTTAATTAAGTCTTTGTGAAAAGCTGTCTCTTATCCATGATGTGCTCGCAAATCAACTATTTCTCACGTGATGTCAGGATGTCATTTGTGGGGACAGAATTAGTATAGGAAAGTTAAATCTTTTATGTAAATATATCAGAGGGTAACAATGAAGTTAGCAAAAACCGGTAATCATAAAAGGGTATATTTAAAAGAGAATAGAGCAAATAGTTACATCACATGGCTCGTGAACATATACTCTCGATAAGAACATTAAGCAAATAAATCCTTGTAGCTGGGGATAAAATTTCCAGACCTGCCACGAGATTAAGACTTTAAAAACCCATCTCTCCCGTCACCTAGGCAACTGTGAAGATGATGGACTCAGTACAAACGTGCTGCGGACTCAGAGTGACCAGTGATAACGCTGCCACTTGGGCCACAGATGTTTGAGAAGGAAAAAGGACATTTCTAAATTGGCATGTTTCAATGGCACCTGTGTTGCTTTCAGTGGGTGTGTGAAAATAAAGTGTTACAAATGGCAAGAAAAGATTGCACACTAGTATAGTAAGTTAACTGAAATTTACACTTACTCTGCAAACGTCAACTGTTCTAGTTGTAAAAGTTAGTTCTTGTTTCTGAAAATGATCTTAATAGGATGAGGAAAAATATGCCAAGCAGAATGTATCAAAATAAATATTTATTCACATTTGAAGCTTTATGTACACTTTTAAAAGCGAATGTGCAGATGAATTACAAAAATCACCCTAAAGTCCTTCCCCCAAGTACAAATGAACGTGAAAGATCAGAAGTGTCACCACCACCAGAATAAAAGGTCTGAATGAATGAACACAAGCCATTATTCTGAATGTCAGGCAGAGAGTTTCCTGTATAGTTACAGCCCCAGGAAGTGCCAGGCGGCCAAACACGTCCAGAACACTGCGTTTCTGCCTCCCCTAACTTACCAAATACACAAATATGCTTCCATCTTTTCGTCCAGCCAGCAAATGAGAATGTGTTCCTGACCATTTTACAAAAGACCAGCTCTGGCCAGAGACGGGCGGAAGAACAGCGCAATGACCCAGAAGTAAGTTCCACACGGCGACCGTGCCAGAAGTCAACACCGCCGCTGCAGAACTGTCCCTCACGTCGCCTTCCAGGAACCTGATGCCAAGCACAGAAAAGACAGCTCAAATCACATATCCAAAAAAAATGTTTTTTTTTTGTAGGCCAAAACCATGCTCCCCGTGGCCACAGGAAGAAAAACTCCCGGAACTACAAACGCCTGTCTGCGATCCTGGGCTGCTGGCTGCTGTCCCGCAGTCTGGGGCATAACCGCACGAGCGGGGCCTGCCTGCCTCTTGGTGCGTCTTGTATTCCGTGCAGCCCAGCTCCCCGGGGCCTGCCTTCCACCCTTCGAAGTAGCCAGGCTCAGGCACCCTCAGTGTCCTCGCTCTTGCTAGTCCCTCTCCTTGGCAGGCTCTCAGCCCAGGTCTCAGCACGGCTGGGCTTCTGTCCTTGTTCAGGCCTGTCGCCTCTGCAGAGAGCAGAAGGCCACAGCCAACCACCTGGGGCAGTGCACACACGTTCTGCTCCCGCGGCCACATGCCGTTTTATCCTCCCATACCCCTCACTGTCTGAGATTACCCCGCCCCACACTTGGTAGGCATCTCCCACGAAAACGTAACGAGAAAGAAATCTGGTTGCGTTTTAAGACGGCGGCTCTGCAGTCACCTACGTGGCTTTGGATTCCAACAAAGTAAGAGCTGTGTGGCTCTGGGCAGGTTATTTACTTCCACCCGTAAAATAGGGGTACGGTGATGTGAGCGCCCACTTCCCAGGGCTGAGGGGTTTCCTGCGGTAGCACAGCACGTGACACACAGGAAGTGATGGATGAGCATGAGGTGTCATCCCTCATGGCTCGATCACCAGCGCCCCGCACAGCGCCACCGATAGACGGGTCTTCTCGCAGTTGGCGGTGACTGCCCATGTGATGGAGGCCACTTAGATGTCACAGTAAAGAGACCTTCCTAAAGTACACTTAGAACTTAATGGGAAGAACATAAAGTATGAGGTTTTTTTATTGCAGAGAACACTAATTACCGTTTGTATTTAAAATGTTTTCGTTATGGGAAAAAGCATGGCTTGAATACACGTAAGACACCTGTCCAGCACCGGACAGGTGAGGCTTAGGACACAGGGAGCCTGAGGTGTGACTCAGATTTACTTCACGCCGTCCTTCACCCCACTTCCTAACCTCGTTTACCATCACCTCCAGTGTTTCCTGTTTCCATTCATCTGAGTGACATAGAAACATATGGTCTTCACGTCTGCAATGAGTGCCTTTCAAAATGTCACACTCACTGGCCAGCAGTCACACACTTGCCTTCCAGTCTGCCCTCGAGGAAGACAGTAGAGCATCACACCCACATTCAAGGTCGTCTTAGGGTTAATCGCAATCAGCTGAAACACAGGGCTCCCCGACGGCTCACTCTCTTTGGCACAGGGATGACTCAGGACGACAAACAGGAGCCCCTGATTTAGGAGAAAAGGTTGTAAGCAAAGAAATCACCAAGAGGATGCTGGGAAAAAGAATGGGCTGAAGAACCAGGGAGATGGTCCGCTCGTGGGAAGCTGGGTTTCCTCGCCGGCTCTCCGTTTCTCAGGCTTGGCCCGGGGCTCCCGTTAAGTTGTCAGCGGCCTTCGCAGGCGTGAAGCCAGCTAATGCATCCGTGTCCCCCTCCTCAGCCAGGGAAATGCCAGCACAGGAAGAGTCCTCAAACTAGACACGCTCATTTGTCATGCAGAACACACTTTCACATAAACACGATCTTACAAGTGGTGATGGAATTTTAGGCTGGTCTCCAGTAGGTTATTTATTTACATTTGTAGAGTAAGGACACCAAAAAGAGACATCATCATAAATGGTTGTTTCTGTAGGAAAATGTGTTATAGATCTCTCCCAGCTTTTAAATTACATGCTCTAGTAACATTATTGCATGAAGACATATGTCACACATCTATGCACACATGTCTACATGTATGTTACGTGTTAAAAATAATTGTCTTTGGGGGTAAAATGGGGAAAATTATACACACGGCCATCTTAGAATTAATAACATTCATTTCTCCTTTATACTTTTCCAGAATGACTGAATTTTTACAATGAGAACGGACTGCCTTTATAATTCGAAAACAGCTGAAAGTCAAAAAAGTATTAAGTAGGGGTTGGCAAACTGTGGCCCATGAGTCGAAGCTGGCTCGACGCTTATTTCTATATGGCCCATGAACCACGAATGGCTTTTGCATTTCAGAATGGTTGGGAAAGAGAGAGAGGAAGAATATTATGTGACATGTGAAAATCACAAGAAATTCAAGTTTCGGAAAGTTCTGGGGAAAGGTTCTTGTCTGAGTTTCACTGGCACGTAGCCGCACCACTGGTCACATGCTACCTCTGGGTGAGTCTGGGCGACAGCAGCAGCATGGACTAGGCACGACAGACCCTGTGGCCCGCAAGGCTGGAAATATTTACTACCTGGCCCTTTACAGAAAACGTTAACCGATTCCCGCACTAAACTGGGAACTGTTATTTCTAGAGGTTGGCTTCACGGGGAACTTTTACTTAACTTATCTGTCTCAGCGTTACATGTTTGAAAAGCAAATAGGTATTAATGTTGCAATAACGAAAATATAAATTATTTAAATGCAGTCTACTAGGTAGATTTAATACTTCCAGAGATGAATTCAACCGCCTTACTTTTGAATGAAAAGCGCCTCGAGACCATGTGACAGGATACCTGTGACCACACAACCTTTGAGTTCACTTCACAGATGCTGCCGGGCTGGGAGAGATGCACCTTTTGTGTTCAGAGCCTCTGGGAGCCGATGTCCACAGTGCTGAGTTGGCCACCACTGCCTCTGCTCCTGGCTCAGCGGTGGACACACAGGCAGCCACCCCCAATGCCTAGACAACTGCCCCACCCTGTCCATGGGCCAGACCGGAAACCGGCCTAGTTATACAGACTGAGACGCAAGGCTCATTTCTCTAGGCAGCGATCCCCAGCCTTTGTGGCACCAGGGACGGTGATCTTGTGAGTATCTAACGCCTGATGATCCAAGGCGGAGCTGAGGCGGTGATGCCGGCGCTGGGGAGCGGCTGCAAATACAGATGAAGCTTCGCTCGCTCCCCTGTCGCTCACCTCCTGCTGTGCGGCCCGGTTCCTGACCGGCCAGGTACCAGGTCTAGGACACTAAAGCCTAATGGAGAAACACGGCCAGGACCATGTCGTTGTTCGCTCTCAGGCCAGTGGGAAAGGTTCTTGTCTGAATAACCTTTTTTGTCTCTGTGCCAGTGAAACCTTTCAGACAAGAACCTTTCCCGCAATTATTCATTCATGTCTCAAATGGCAAGGTGCTTGGGAGCCAGCTCTGATAACGGGCACGACGTTCCTCGCTGCAAATTCACAGCTAGAAGTAAATGTCTGCCCCTACGTGACACGGCCAGCGACTCTACTAAGCAATCGTATTGCACCAGCACTTACTTTCACCCAGACATTTCGAGAAAGGACAAACACTGCTATCTAATTTTGAAAAAATAAGCAACGGAGGGGGAGGGGGTCAGCTAAACCCTACCTAAGGTATCGTGCTCACTTAGTGAGGCCACAAGTGACACACGGAGACACACAGGGGCCCCGGATCAGCACTTACCATTTCCGAATAGGCTTTGTGACAGACGGAAGCTTGGTAGGAATCGCCAATGTGCATCTTTTTCAGGAGCTGACCCGTTTTTAAATTCCTTAGACACCAAAAATAAATAAGCTGATAACACTCTTCCAGCAAATTGGTTCTCACTAATATTCTCTTATGTATTACAGCATCCTTTAAGAGGGGACCAAGTACCTTCGTTTTGTTTAGTTATAAACAGAGCTGAAGACAGAACTATTGTTTAACTTTGCCAATGGTTTAATGTGATAGTTTAGCTTTAGAGCGAATCTGCTATGCCATTAGGGAGAAATCTGCCCAAATTCCAGGAGAAAAGGTTTCCACTCTCTCATTTTACTTAGTCTTGAAAGTGAAGTCTTAGTCTTTAGTCTGTGAAGTCTTAGTCTTTACTTAGTCTTGAGGCACATGGTATATCTCTGTCATTATGAGTTTGTCACGATTTCTGTTATGCCTAACTTTTCCATGGAACACGATGGTCGGGAAAGCAAATTTGGTCAGGTGAGAGACGCCACCTAAAACTGACATATAATTATGTCTCCCTGGCATCTGCTCACGTCAGAGCTGGACCAAGGTAATGAGAGAGAAGGGAAGACTGAGCCGGCATGAACAGTGGAAAAAGGAAGAGAGGAGAGCAGAGGGCGAATATGAAAAGAGGAAACGGAGAGCGTCGGACCCGCTCCGTAGCTTCACTGCGGGCTCACCACACTGACTGACAGCTGTCCGTCATGGACGCTCCGTAGCTTCACCGAGGGCTCACCACACTGACTGACAGCTGTCCGTCACGGATGCTCCGATGAAGAATGTCCCGCTGCCTCCCACTGGCCACGGATAATGTCCGAGTTACCTTTCACGGCATGCTGAACCCTCATAAACGCAGCGCTGCAACGCTGAATCACGCAGGGCTCCCTGAGTTGGGGTCTCGCTGCCCGCGCAGGGTATCATGCATGTCCCTGGCTCCATGCCTCTGTTCCAGCCGCCCCTGCCACAGCCCTCCACATCACCGCCCTTTCTCGCCCCCCACTGACTAGTGCCCACCCGTTCCTTACGGCCTGGATCATGTCCCGCCCCCTCCCAGCTGCATGAGCCCACGTGAGATTCCCTCCCACCCCGTCTGCCCAGTCAAATCTCACGACCAAGGCCACAGGTACTGCCCCCATGCCTCATGTCTCATTTGCTACAAACTTAACAGGGTGTGAGACATTCATTCAACAAATACATCTGAACTTTCTACAGCCCAGGTACCGTGTACAAAGCTGAACACAAGCTAAACTCTCACGTAAGGAGGCGAGGTTCTCCTGATGGGAGGGGGCCCGGGGTTAGTGCCTTTCCCCAAACCCCAAGCACTTGTCCAGATGTCTGCCACCCGGACCTCGTGTGACCTGTGAAGGAGTCTGAGGGCCGGCGGTCAGCTCTCCTTCGGCCCTGCTGGGTGGGGGCCCCCCCTTCCCTCTCCTGGTTGCTGCGGTCACTCTGTCCATCGGCTCTCTGAGCCAGGAGGCCAGAGGCATTCAGTCACGACGTTGGCCACCCCGCGTGCAGATGGGTCCTGCTCTCCAACTAGATGCCTAAGGTCGAGGGGCTCGCCTGGTGAACCCCAGTACCTTCTCCCTTTTCCTCACTCTCCAGTGCCTTCCAATGCTTGTTTTTTTAGCCTTTTGTCCAGAGTTTATAGTTATTTGAGGTAGGAGAGCTGGTCTGATAGAAGCTGCTCAGTCGTTAACCGGAAGCAGAACAGTTTTTGACAGTAACACCACATTTATTTTAAAATAGTCTACTTAGACTAATCTTTTTCACGATGTCTGAATATGATATTCTTGTTAAGACAAGTATATGACACCTGACAGTAAACACACAAAAATACGATCATACTTAGAGTCTCTGATTTTATCCTTACAGCCCTGTGACATGAGAGGCACGTCTTACATTACGGATGAGGAAACCGAGGACCTGAGCGGGAACTTACCAAATGACAATGCTGTTCGTTACGGTGGTGCTGAGCAGGGCGTCCTGCATCCCTTGAACCTCGACGAAAGTTAGTATAGTCTCTTCGGGGGGCATCAAAAACCGTTTTTCTTTGCTTCTGCATTTAAAACAGTATTGAAAATCAGCACTTTGTACCAAAGCGGTTTCTAAGTAGCCCTTCTACGTATTACTGAACTCTGTGTAATAAACCTAATACCACAGAAAAGTGTCAACCAGAAAACATGTAGCCTAATTAAACTTTCTGTAATGAACAGATATTACTTTAATATTATCTGCCTAGATATACTGCAAGCACCTTGAATTCATCATAGCCAAAATTACACTCGCCAGCTCTCCCCTGAAATCTCGTGTTTCTTTCCAAATTCCTATCTCAACGAAATGTACCACCATCTACCCAGGTAACCAGCCCAGAAACCTGGACCCTGTCCTTGTCTCTTTCCATAACCACTCAGTCACCGAGTCCTAGTGATTTCATCACGCCCTCTCCCTCAGGCCTGCCAGCCTCTCCCCATCTTCGTTAACACTTTCCCAATTTAAGCAAACAGCTCTGTCTCTTGTCTGGATGACTGCGACAGGTCGTGAGTAAGTAAGGCAAACGAGGTCCATGCCCTTGGTTATTCGGAAAGACAGATAAGTAACCTGTGTAGCGAAGTGTAATGTGTATACGGCAGACACAGAGGATGCTAAGGGTTCTGTTTTCCACGTGCTGGATTTGGGGTAACCACAGCAGGTGTACTAAGTAGGCCTGCAGGTCTAGAGGCCGAGGAAGGGCTGGGAGCTAGACATGTATGTTCCAGCAGCCGGCCACTAGATGGCGATCGAATGAATGGAAACCAAGCCTGTGGAAGGACCGCCAGCTCTCCCCTGAAATCTCGTGTTTCTTTCCACATTCCTATCTCAACGAAACGTACGGCAGACACAGAGGATGCTTTCCACGTGCTGGATTTGAGGTAACCACAGCAAGTCTACTAAGTAGGCCTGCAGGTCTAGAGGCTGAGGAAGGGCTGGGAGCTAGACACGCATGTTCCAGCAGCCGGCCACTAGATGGCGACCGAATGAATGGAAACCAAGCCTGTGGAAGGACGAGAGTGTCAGGGTCTGAGGCCGTGGAACCCATAAGGGACACACAGCGATCAAGCCAGAAGGAAGGACACGCCCTGCCGGCTGGGCCTCCCCAGCACTGAGTTTCTCCCAGCTGCGCCCAGCTCCACCCCTAAACTCTTCCACGTGCCAGTGCCCAGCGGACCCTGCAAAGCCACACGAAAGCACAGAAGCCAAGACGCTGTGGAGCCGACCTGCTCTGACACCCTGGGGTAAAAATCGCTCTTCTCTGACGTCAGGGGCGACCAGGGTTTCCTCACCCTCCGTCCTCCGCGAATGTCATGACTTCGACCTGCTGATCACAGAGCGTCCCACGGCTGCTGGCGAGCCTCCTCTTGGTCAAGCCGAGCACGGCTTGTATGTGCCCAGAGCTCAGGAGCACCTGCTTTCCGCTTTCGCCATCCGAGGGACAAAGTAACGCCCTAAACCCGACACAAGGAGAAATGTGGAGAAGCGGAAGTGAGCCCTTAACAGGGAAGGATGGGGTTCAAGTTTACACAGAAACTTTAGTCCTGGAAGTCATTCTAATGATAGGTTTTTCTTTAAAAAAACAAATCTTTTAGACCTAAAGTGACATTCTCTCAAGACCCAAGTCTATGCTGTAATTGGCACTCAGAACAGGCTGCCAGCGACAAAGGTAAAAGGAAGAACCAATCCTTGAGAATTGCACACCTGATTTCTTGGATTTCCAGATTCCCCAAAGCCACACACACGAGGTCGCAAACGTCGGGCACGGGAACGATCTGTAACACCGGAACCTGGATGAAACGAGCCACAAATGTATTCGCTCGTTTCCTTTTCAGTTAATCTACATTTTCCAAACTTGGTTGCATCCCTTTCTATTCTCGCTGTCCCAGGGTGGTTTCCCACATCCGGACAAATGTGAGGAGGGTCAGCACACGACCCCTTTGATGAACCGTCAACCTAAACGAGCGTCTGCTGCGGCGTTTATTCCGTGCAATCTCCACCTCCAACGACAGAGGGGAGTAAGCAAATTCCGGGAGGTGGATGAACGGAACGTTACGCAGCCATTTAAAATAAGTCTGTCCCCTGAACAAGCACTTGAGTGCCACCATGCAGAGCAGGGCTAGAGAACAAGAACGAAATTTGCTAACACAGTAGATCTCAAGTGTTCTCGCCAAAAGTTAAAATAAAGAAAGGAAAACAGGTAACTGCGAGAAGCTGGATGTGTTGGTGAACTTCATCGTGGGAGTCTTCACAGTGTGTACGTGTATCGAATGATCACAGTGTATGCTTTAAATACTTCACAATTTTATTTGTCTAGGATAGCCTTAATAAAGCTGGCAAGTGTACATGGGCTCACTGTACAACTTTTTGTACGTTTGAAAATCTTCATAATAAAATGTTGGGGAGGTGTCGTCTGTCTGTCCCATCTTCCATGGTCACAGATCCTGTTTGTGGTAAGCTGCCCACCTACATTATCACGCAAAGGACTGCAATGACCTCTTCCGGTTCTTAGGTTTGGACTCACCTCTGTGAAATGCCAGGAATAGATTTTTTCCCACTGCCAAGTATCCAGAGGTTTCCAGAGAGAAACTGCGTATTCACAAGCAGTTACGATACACGGCTCTTTGAGACCAGCCACATCCCACCACAGGGCACTCACGTCCACGGCACAGGGAGCTGACGGGTCCTGACACAGAACAGCAACAACGGTTACGCAAGACAGACACTCAGGGTCCCTTTCGTGAGATGAATGCGAAGAGGGATGCATTACATGGGTTAGATGAAATACCAAGTAAACATAATTAAAGTTTTAGGCAGGTCGAAATAAAAAGCTTTGTGGGTCTTGTAATTGGTCATACATACTCATATCATGATATAATTTAAAAGTACAGCTGTGGAATGGAATAGATTCGGATTTAAGCACAACAGACAGCCCATAAAAACTTACCCATTTAGAAATTAAACATCCCAGGGAACCGCCCGTGGGTTGAAACAACATACTATCGCCACACAAACAGCAAGGGGCGTGGCAGGCACCCAAGCGCACAGCGTGTGGCCAAAGCGAGGTTTCCCCAAAAATGTGTTATCGCAACAGCATTTATCAAAAAGCAAGAAAGACCAAATAAAGCAAGCAGCTCAATAAAGTGAGGGAAAGAACAATGGAAGACACACGATGAAAAACAGAAAGAGTTAGTAAGGACAAAAACAGAAATAAACCAAATAGGAAACAAGAAAACCTCCACTGACGATCAATACAACCAAAAAGTCGTTTTTCTGGAAGACCAACTGAATGGGCAAACGCCTCAAGTTTGGTGTGGGAAAAAAATATTTTTAGAAATAGGGGCTGGAGGAGGGAGGCTTAACTGAGTACACATGGACAAAAGAATGGCAGATACACACACAATGGCCTGACTATGAATTTCTTCAGGGGATGACCTCAAAATACAAATACAGGTAAATATCGTGAAAAACAAAGAATCTAAATCTGTTCTTCTCAATCTGTTCAACAAAGTTAATTGGACAGTTTTCTATTAAGAATGAGAAGCCATCTCGTTAAATGATTCTCAACTTCCCCATCAATCCATTACATTCTTCCCATGTGACACACAAGACAGTATAAGGTAAGCCTTCTGACCTTTAACCTTGAAACCAGTTGCAGGTCGCCCGGGACTACGCTGTCACAGGCAGGAATGTCTGCTATGCCAGGCTGTGGGCACAAAAGTCGCACCATTAGTCTACACTTCCTGTGCGCTGTCCTGCATCACATTGTCTAGTTCGTGCTTTATTTCCTCATACGTGTTGTTATCGCGTTGTCTATTTTAGGTGGCAAACTGCTTCACTGATGACAAAGAGAGAAGGCCGCCCCTGTTTAAAAAATCTATTTTTTAATTCACCTGAACTTCCCCAGAATGAACTTAATGCTCACAGTAAAATCACGTCAAGGAGACGTGTTAACAAACACCGAGGAGCCACTGCGAGAGGCGTCGGGCTGTCCATGTTCACTAAGGGACTTCGTTCCTCCAGAGGGCACGCCACATAGGAAGCGGACTGTACCTGTTGGACAGAATGCTGCCATGGTTCCGGGTGCGCGTGTCTGGAGCACTGACTGTCTTTGAAAGTGAGCGACTCAATGGGCGGCAGTGTTGCTCGGGGCCCAGAAGCACAGTCACAGGAAGGCCGTCCTGGCGCGTGCAGGCTGCTCTCTAATTTTAGTGGGCTGGTGCGAGTGTCACACTGTCTACAGTCACCAGCGAGGCTGACTGTGGCTCTCGAGTGAGAAAGCGGGGGTGTGGAGCGGGAGTTCCCAGCCACGTCTGCTGCCACGGTGACACAGTGTGCCTGGGAGCCAGGGGCTGGGGTAGTGCCTAAGATGGGGAAGGCGGGGGAACACGCGTCTGCCGCCGGCCTGTTGTCCTCACCGGGCGTGATGGTACTGACGGGCGTGAGCAGTACCATGGACGAGGACAGGCCCTCCTGAGCTTGGCGTGTGCACCCTGGCACTTTGGGGTGCGCTTGTACCGGCAGAGCAGCCGGGCCCTCCTCGCAGTGCCCCGTGTCCAGACCGATCTGTTCAGGGGCCAGCCCCTCCGCCGCCGGGCACCGCCCCGCTCTGCGCTGCCGTCTTCCGGCCATCCTGCATCGCAGAGGCTCTATCGGCCCCTCTGAGCAGCGCTGCAGCTTATTGAGCTTAAGAGGTCCGAAGTCCTCATCGGGTAACTGAAAGTCTGTGATTTTCAGGAAAGACAACAGCTGCTTCGACCTTAGCACTGCATCCTTAGGAGACGGAACACTGAAATCGTCACCATCCGAAGCTGATGCAGCATGATCGCTGGAAGGAAGGGGGTCCGCTTTTTGACGGCGAATTTCCTTTCCTAAAATAGAAAGCAACGATGACGAATACCCATCAAGGTACGTGAACGCCCAACAAGGAGTGACTCCCCGAACCCCGGCAGAGAGCATCGTGTTCATTATTTTTCCCACCCGCCATGCTGCAGCCTCGGTGAACAGCGCAAAACTCAGTCGCGGGTGGGCGGTGGGCCAGCTGCTCCCTCTGCAGCACCCGAACCGGCGTGGTGCCGCCAGCATTGGCTGGGGAACGGAAGACGGTGGTTGGGTCGCAGCTCGGCCACTGGTTTGCTGTTACCTGGGGCCAGTCAACTCTCTTCCTGTCCCCTCGTCTCTCCTAAGGGAACTGGACTCAAAGTCTCTAAAGTCCTTTCTGCTCTCCAGCTGATTCCAACAGGCTACAAGAGGACAGCCTACAAGATGCTGGCTCTTCTCATTTAAGAGAACTCGGCCCCCTTTCCAAGCAAAGTTATTTACTACCCTTAAAACGACTGGACTTCTATCCCATTAGAAATGTAGCTGCAGCCATCACCTAATAAATAGACAAACCGTGGCACGTCTCTACAACGCAACAGTGCTCAGCCATAAGAGAACGGAGCACTGATACATGCTACGAGCTAAGACATGGAAGGTCACATATTGTATGATTCCACCGATATGACATATCCCATGTATGTAAATCCAGAGACAGTACCAGCTGGTTGTTGCCAGGGGCTGCGGGGAGAGGAACGGGGAGTGTTTCACGGGTATGGGGTTTCCGTTTGGGGAGACAAAAATGTTTGGGAACCAGATCGGATCATTGTTGAGCATTCTGAATGTACTAAATGTCACTGAATTGTTCACTTAACTTAAACTGGTTAATGTTATGCTATGGGAAGGTCACCTCAAGAAAAAAATTTAATGTGGCTGTAGATTATTAAAATCGCAGATGACTTTAAAGTATATAAAAGAATGTCTGTAGCTTATTACTAGATGACCCTACTTTAATTAATTGTAGCTCATAGAGCAGAGCCTGTGTCCACGGGTAGAGAGCAGCTGGCTACCTGTTTTTATAAATAAAGCTTTATTGGGACACTGTCACATTTACATGTCATCTGCAGCTACTTTCACACTACTGAGTAGCTGTGACGGAGCACAAAGATGCTGTTTACCGTCTGGCCTCCTATGGAAAGTGTGCTGGTCTTTAGCGTAAAACCAGTGTGAATTGTCTAGTTTTTAGGCTTAGTGGATCAGATATGATAACTCCTGAGTAAATGAATAAAAGTTTAAATTATAACGTGTCACTTTGCTATCTTCCAAAATCTTGTGTCCCACACACCTCAGAGAGACTATATTAAATATTTTATCCAAAAAAAGCTGCTCAGACCTATTGTTTTATCGTGTGATCACTCCTGAGTTCGTCAGTGACCTCCGGCTCTGACACGCATTTCATTTCACTTCAAAAATACTTCCTGTGTTAGTTCTAAAGCTTCTATCCATGGATCAAGATTATGTTGTACCTGAACAAATACTAACTTTAGGTAAACAGCCAATACGTTTCCTTCTTAGCGTCAAATTTTTCAACCACGTTATTGAACTCTGACACCACGCAGCCAGGTTTGAATCCTGGCTCTGACGTGTCAATGAATGACAGCACTTCAACCTCTTTGTGCCTTAGTTTCCTCGTCTGTATAGTGAGGATGAAAACAGGCTACTTAACGCAGGGTTGCTGTGATGATTCGACAAGTATCTGTACATTTAAAAACTGCCAGGCACATAGGAAGTGTTTGCTGCCATCATCGTCCCCATCACCCCCCACGCCCCGATTTACCTGTGACCCTCTTCTTACCATGGACAATTGCTTTTTCATCCTGATCTTTGTGCACAGCGACGTCTCGCTTGGGCCTATTAGCACCTGATGTCCCAGAAGAGTGCAAAAGTGGTCCCTGATGATCTAATGTAGGGGTACGGACTGACTTCCTTTTTCCTCTGCGTCTCCTACCAGATGGCTGGGTAACCGCCTTCTCAAAGAAGTCATTTTTAGGGGGCCCAGCGGGAGAGCTGATCTCAGTTGCTGAGGGAAGTTTCTGAAAAGGACTTGAACTTGGCCGTCGTGGGGATGGATCAGACATCCTAATTTCGCTTTGGTTAGCGTCTCCATTGGACAAGTTCACATTTGTAGCAGCTTCCTTATTTGCATTTTTAAACCCTTTCTTTTTGACACCCAAATGACTCTGAATGACAGCCTCCAGGGCTCCCTTCCTCTGGAAACTTGACATGCGTCGTGTTATTCTAATGTAATATTCTGCTGGGAAAAGAAGGCCTTCGAGTGCTGTGCAAGAATGTGTTTGGTTTCCTGTAGGAACAGGAGAGACTCCTTCCAGGCCAAGACTCTCAGCTCGACTGAGACCTTCATCTTCCTGAAGACTTTCAGTTCTGCCGTCAGGAGCATTAGTGGAGGATTCTGGACACTTCTCTGTGCAGTTCTGTTCTTTTAGGTGTTGGTCATTATTTGCCAGTAAGGTATCATAAGAGAGTTCATCTACAGGACGTACATCATCTGCCTCTAAGTTAGGGCTTGTAGGCAGCCGGCCGCTTGCACCTGAAGCTTTATTTATCTCTGGGTCACCTGTAGAGACAGCCTCTTTTTTGTAGTGTGCCTCTGTGGTTACAGGTGAGGTAGGGCTAATGTCTTCTAAACCGTGAGCAGTAAGTTCAGAGGCGCTTTCAGAAGGCTGATGTTGAAGGCACTGAGTGTGACCGCTCTCTGCTGGGGCGGGCCAAGGAAGCGGAGCCGCCGGGGAGCAGCAACTTCCTGTCACGGGGGCATCCACGCCGCCCTGCGGTTTGGCAGGTGGGGACGTTAACACACTCCCTCCGCTCGTTTCTGTAACCGGCGCTCGAGAATCTGGAACATCAGACGCAGGCCTTGGAAGGCCACTTCTGATTCCGGTTTCAGGGGTTCCGGGGTCCCCTCTCTTGGCATCTTCTTGCTCTTTTAGTCGTTTTCCAGAGAGCACGCGCGAATCGGAGTCAAAGCAAGAGCCTCCCTCTTGTGAAACAGGTGCTCCCTCCTGCTGCTGCCTTCTCGCCGACAGCTTCCTCTGCCTTTTCTCACGGTCAGAGCCATGGAGCCCGAGGGCCAGGAGTTCCTGGGTGTCGTCTCTTCTCTGTCCCTGGAGCCCTTCCACTGGGCCGAGTCCAGCGACAGAAGACTCAGGCTCAGCATCTGCAGTTTCTCCACTGAGGTGGGTGTCGATGCGTAACGTGTCACACGAAGATACTTTAGTTTTGTGCTCTGAGGAGAAAAAATTACGGGATTACTATTTCTCTTTAGAAACCAAAGTATTCTGTATTTATTTTAAAATACTATATATAACTGTCACCAAATATTTACTTAAGAGTCAACGGTATTTCATTCAGGCAGAGCAAAATTCAAGTTTTGAACAATCCAATAAACTATAATAATTTTAAGTAAATGTAAACAAGTACAATTGTGCTAGAAAAAAATGACTTTTTTAAACAAAAAGGTTATCTACTCTTCATTGCGGTGATCTTTTTAGTTTTTTTGCCAACTTTAAGGTACAACCGACAAAAATTGTATATGGATCAGTTTTACAATGCGATGTTCTGATATATAAAAATACTGTCAAATGTATGTGAAATGAAATAATCAAGTTACATACCCTTCATTTCACATACTTTTTTGTGCGTGTGGTGAGAACACTTAAATCCTCTCAGCAAATTTCAAGTATACAATACACACGTGGTATTACCTGTCATCTCCGTGCTTGCTATACATCAGATCTCCAGAACTTCCTCTGCGTAAGCGAAACTCTGTACCCTTTGACCAACGTCCCCCCATTTCCTCCATATTTCATCTTATTTTTTTATTTCGTGTCTTTTTTTGGCTTAAATAATTTTAGTATCTATTTCAATAGCCTCCAATTTTACGATTACAAATTACCTAAGTATCAATAAGACCAGTTTTTCTGAGTATTTCCAGTCAGACATGTTTCTCTCTCTGTCCATATGTAGAAATTTAATTAAAAAAATCTTTCCAATAATTAAGCAAGAAATATAATTTCAAAAGTTGGGTGGGGAAAAGAGCACCTATGTAAACGATCCAACTGAAAGTGTAGTTTATTGTTCACAGAATGGGAAGTAGTCGCGAACCATGTATCTGATAAGGGCTGAATAGCTACGACACATGAAGAATTTTTAGACCCCAGAATGAAAAGACAAATGGCCTAATTAAAATACTGGCAAAGGACTCGAATAGACATTTCTCCAAAGAAGATATAAAAATGGCCTCCAAGCACACGAAAAGATGCTCAACATCATTACTCACTAGGAAATGCAGATCAGAACCACAGTGAGATCGTGAGAACCGACAAGGCTGCAGAGAACCCAGAGCCCTTCTGCGCTGCAGGGGGAAGCACGATGCGCAGCTGCTGCAGGAAACTGTGCCGATGCCTCAAAGACGGGAACGGTTCCCATACAACCTAGCAAGTCCACTCCCAGCTACACACCCCCGAGAAACGAAAACGCGGCTACGCGAACGTCTACGTGTGAATGTTCACTGTAGCCTAATGGCCCAAATTCCTAAGAGCCAAAAAGTAGAAACAACCCAAATGCCCACCACCTAAAGACTGGATGACTTATGGAACACCTGCACAGTGGACTGTCATTCAGCCGCAAGAGGGAGTGAGTGCTGGTGCATGCCTGGATGAATGCTCGGGTGGGTGACCTCTGAGAACACTATGCTAAGGGCAAGAGCTAGTCACACAAGGCCACCCACTGCATGGTTCCTCTTATAATAAAATGGCCAGAACAAGTTAATGCATGGAAACAGAAAGTAGATTAGTGGTGGCCAGGGATTAGGGGTGGGATGGGTACGGGATTTCTCCGGGGACGGTGAAAACAGTCTGGAATTAGACAGTGATGATGTTTGCACAATCTTGTGAATATACAAAGAACTGTCAAATTGGACACCTTAAAGAGTCTACTGCATCCTTCTCTCCTGTGAGAAAAAGAACCACAGCCACACATGCCAGGGAAATAAATACAAATGCAAGCATAAGAGAACGGGCTAGCTTTACCTGAGTGGGTTAGCTGTGCTGAGTCTTCCTGCTGGACCAAAGAGTCTTGTTCTTGCACAGTTTTCTGAATAGAATTCTTGACCTTCTCAGCTCTTTGGGCACGCTAGAGAAAGCAAAATCAGCTCACAGAATAAATTTAACGGGGAAAAAAGTTTTTTAAAACTTCATTATGAAGAATTGTTTTTCTATAGCTGGTACTACAATACCTCCACGTCGGAGAATAAGACCGACTTACCTGAAGGCGGGCCAACGTCTTGCTGTATTCCCTTTTCAAGAATGCTAATTTTTCCTTCAACTGGAAGAAGAAAAACACCAGACAATACTGAGCAGGTGGACAGGAGTCAGAGGACAGGGTACAGAGCCTGCCAGACGTGAGTGTGCCGTGCTCCGCGGGCCCCTCGGCACGAGGCAGCAGAGGGAGCAAAGCTGGCCCGTGCTGCTCCCAGTTCTCACGAAGCACCCAGCCCTCTGCTGTCTCAGAAGCTCTGTGCAGGCTGTCCCTGTCACTTGCCTCCCAGCTCACCTTGCTCGTGCCTACCGATTCCTCAAGTCTCAGTTTAGATACCCATTTTCCTGGAGTAGATTTCTAAGTCCTTCTCCAAATCCAGGATAGACACCCCAGAGCTCCCCTGTGCTTCCTTTATCACAGTACTTATAATACCAAGCTGTCTGTTCACTTGTTTGCCACCCACACCATGAGTTCCTGGAAGGTAGCAGGAGCCCTCAAGTTATTGGCCCAGGTATCTCTAGCACCTGGAAACAGATGACACTCCTATGTATCAGTTGTCGTTCCAGGTGCTAGATATACAGTTACATGTGGTGAATGATACCGATAACAAGAAAACAAACAAATGAGATGATTTCACATGGTTACCGATACCTGGATAACCAGGGTAATGTGAGAGCCCCTTATTGTGGGAGTGGGCTTCCTTGGGTAGGGTGGCCAGGGAGATGTTGCTGAGGACCACCATTTGAACCCAGACTCAGAGGAGGAAGGAGCTGGCGAGGGAAGACCAGAGGCAAAGCAGTTTGTCCAAGACCACACAGTTCATGGACAGCATGACTCTAACCCATGCAGTTTAGCCGCAGTCCGCGCTTTCAAATCCGCGCTAGACCGCTCTCGCGGTGTCCTATGCGGCACCACGCTTATCGGTATCTGGCAGTTCATCTTGCCTTGTAAGTGCCTTTTCTCACCCCCACTGGGATAAGAGGACTGATGAGTTCATGAGCATCAAGGGCAGGGCGCAAGGCCTGGAGCCTCCGGCACAAAGGAGTTCACGCCAAAGTCATCGGCCCAAGCACAAGGTGGCACGGAAAGGGGCAGTTAGAGAAAACACTGGCATTGTCGTAGAAGCAAAGCGGGAATGAGCTCAGCCTCTCGGCAGACTAAGACGTAAAGAAACGATGGCGCCTCCATACTACAGGCTACTGTACAGAACTTAAAAAAAAAATGGTAGGTAAACATGTCCTAACACGGATGTCGGACTGGGAGAAGGAAGAGGGACGCCGCAGGATCCCGCAGGGCATACCCCGTTCCAAAGGACACACATTACTTCCGGGGGCTAGAGAGGCAACCGCACCCCTCCGCACCCCCGAACGGATCTGCAGGATCAGACCGTGAGGAGGCTTAAAGGGTGCGGGGGGAGAAGCCAGGGCGGTGCCAACCGGGGCATCGGTGCCCGGATGCAGCTGCGCTTCCACCTCCGCTCTCCCCGGGACCCTCGGGCCAAAGGGCGGAGGTCAGAGGTCAGAGCCGCCCCGGACGGCAGGGGTCACGCGCCGGCCTAGAACCCCGGGAAGGAGGTCAGAGCTCCGCGCCAGCCCTCCCCGCGCCCCCGGCACCTTTTCCTTCTCCTCACAGCTGAGGGGCTTTCCGGGAGCCTCTTCCATCGGGCCGGCGGCCGAACGAGAAGAGTATCTGCCGCTGGCCCCGGGGCTGCCGCTGCCGGCCCCGGGCACGGGA